CCTCGGGGGAGAGGGACCTGAAGGACCTCTGGTGGTGGAGAAGTAACCGAGTTATTATAGTGTCACCCTGGCAACGCTATAAAAGGTCTATCTGTCGGCCTGGCATCACTGTTCAAGGTCTACCTGTCGGCCTGACATCACTGTACAAGGTCTACCTGTCGGCCTGGCAACGCTGTACAAGGTCTACCTGTCGGCCTGGCATCACCGTACAAGGTCTACCTGTCGGCCTGGCAACTCTCGGCGGAGCAACACAAAGGCGCTACAACTTATATATATTCCCGCCACGAGTTTGTTGCAAAGCTTATGGAAATGACGCTATATTTCACGGGGCACAGGAGGCAACACGGGCCGAGGGCTTGAGGTGTCCCAGAGGCTATTAATCCCTTTAATCAAAACAGGTTAAACGTCTTAGCGGTACAGGTGAGCATGGCACTATCATACACCCCAGGAGATCGGACAGGTGAGAGGGACTTCGCGAGATAGTGGACACAAGGTAGTTGATCCTCGTCTTCCCATATGAGAAATGACCCTTATTGGCCACCTGTGTCTAGCGCGTTCATCCTCACTACACGTAATCTAAAGCTATTTATTAACGTGTATAGGGCCTTATAATAATACGCCCACCGTATAGTGCAATTTTCATTCATTAGCGTAATTGAGCAGGACAATTTAAATGCCCGTATGCAAATTAAGGGCCAATATAAATTAACGTAGCTTTAGTGTCATCCCCCCCCCTCGAGTACCACCAGGCAACCATACGGAGAAGTGAATGAATGTGTGTGTGTGTGTGTGTGTGTGTAGGGGGGGCAAGTGTGGAGGGGGGGTGGGGAGGGGCATGTGTGTGTGGGAGGGCATGTGTGTGTGGGAGGGGGCATGTGTGTGGGAGGGGCATGTGTGTGTGGGAGGGGGCATGTGTGTGGGTGGGGCATGTGTGTGTGTGTGTGTGGGTAGGGGGTGTGTGGGGTAGGGGGCATGTGTGTGGGTGGGGGCATGTGTGTGTGTGGGGTAGGGGCATGTGTGTGTGTGGGTGTGGGGTGGGGGGGCATGTGTGTGTGTGTGGGAGGGGCATGTGTGTGTGGAGGGGGCATGTGTGTAGTGTGTGGGGCATGTGTGTGTGGGCATGTGTGTGTGGGGGCATGGGAGGGGGGTGTGTGTGGGAGGGGGCATGTGTGTGGGAGGGGCATGTGTGTGTGTGTGTGTGTGTGTGTGTGTGGGAGGGCATGTGTGTGTGTGTGGGGAGGGGCATGTGTGTGTGTGTGGGGTAGGGGCAGGGGTGTGTGTGTGGAGGGCATGTGTGTGGGGAGGGGGCATGTGTGTGTGTGGGAGGGGCATGTGTGTGTGTGGGAGGGGCATGTGTGTGTGTGGGTGGGGGGCATGTGTGTGGGAGGGGGCATGTGGGGGGGCATGTGTGTGTGGGAGGGGCATGTGTGTGGGAGGGATGTGTGTGGGAGGGGCATGTGTGTGTGGGAGGGGCATGTGTGTGTGGGAGGGGCATATGTGTGTGTGTGTGTGTGTGTGTGTGTGTGGGGGGGGGGGCAAGTGTGTGTAGGGGGGCAATGTGTGTGGGAGGGGCATGTGTGTGTGGGAGAGGGCATGTGTGTGGGAGGGGCATGTGTGTGTGGGAGGGGGCATGTGTGTGTGTGGGAGGGGGCATGTGTGTGTGGGGGGGTGTGTGGGAGGGGCATGAGGGGGAGGGCATGTGTGTGGGAGGGGGCATGTGTGTGTGGGAGGGGGCATGTGTGTGTGGGAGGGGCATGTGTGTGGGGGTGGGGTGTGTGTGTGTGTGGTGTGGGAGGAGTGTGGGAGGAGTGTGTGTGTGTGTGTGTGTGTGTGTGTGTGTGGGAGGAGGCATGTGTGTGTGGGAGGAGGGGGTGTGTTTGTGTGGGTGTGTGGCGTGAATGAACGCTCAGGTAAATTGGAGTATTTGTGATATGATACGAAGCATTCAGTTGATGTATAGAGTGGAGGAGGGAGGGCGTGGGAGGAGGGAGTGGGCGTGGGAGGAGGAGGCGTGGGAGGAGGGAGGGCGTGGGAGGAGGGAGTGGGCGGAGTAGCGTTGAAGGGGGGAGTTGTGCATGGAGTGCCAGCTATCATACGCCCAATTTAATGGCCTTACCCTCCATCCTTTCTAGAGTGTCAATTCCCCCCTGGCACTCTCTCTCTTGCACATACACACACACCTTTCTATGCTTGTAAACATATTATACAGTATACAAATTAGCAACCATACTAGTTCCATCTACTCACTCACTCACTCTCACTCGCCATACTCTCTCTCTGTCCCTCTCGATTTCCTTATCCTCCCCCCTCTCTCCCTCTTTCTCCCTCTTTTTAATTTAGTTACTGGTATCCTCTTAAGACAAATCCATTTTCTTTCTCAGGGGTAACTGAACATGAGAGAGAATTCTGGCTCAATTAGCTTAAATATTGAGAAATATTAATAAGAATGAACGGTATAACAATGTTTACTAAATTCTCGGAGGTTTCCAGATATCCTACAAGGTTTCCAGTGTTCCAAAAAGGTTTCCAGATGTCCTACAAGGTTTCCAGTGTTCCAGAAAGGTTTCCAGATGTTCTACAAGGTTTCCAGTGTTCCAAAAAGGTTTCCAGAGTTCTACGTACTCAAGATAGCCTTCGCGTTACCTCTAATTTTGTTATGTCATCCTCGGGAGGGGGGTGATGGGAGGGTGAGGGGGAGATGAGAGATGGGCACAGGAAAGAAAAGAAAAGGAGAGTAAGGAGGGAGGGAGGGAGGGAGGGAGAGAGGAAAGGGGAGGGGAGAGAAAAAGGGGGAGGGGAGAGAAAAAGGGGAAGGAGAGAGAGGAAAGGAGAGGAAGAGAGAGAAAAGGATGGGTTACGGGTACATATTTCTCATCTCCTTATCAACAAACACTGATTCTCTTCATCGACCAATAGCAACGCATCATCCCCGGCGCGCGGAGCATAGAGCTCGGGGATTGGCCGAGGTCTTGGACACCCCACGTCAAATGAGAATCTGAACTCTACAGGAATGTCCTCCATTAATCTAGTGTTTTAAAAGATGGGAAAAAAATGAAAAAAAAGTTTAAAGAGTTCACCTTTTGATGCCGTAATACAGAATCTTAGTTATACGTCTTCGTGTCAACATTTTTGGCATAACTTACGAGATTGTGGGAAGGGCGGGAGGAGGAGACGACCCCGATATCTTACATCCGTTAAATTAAGTGTCGTTGTTATTGTGGTGTTGTCTTGGACTGACCATAAACTCCTTGTGTTGTACTCTGGATTGTCATGGTTTAGTACACCAATCTATACCGTCTCCACCACAGCCATCCATCTATACCAGTGAAGCTCAACAAGTGGTTCTCTCCTAAACTAACTAAACCCTTTTGCTCCATCACCAGTCCTTCTTTCGGATTAGTATAAAATCCCATTGACCGATAGAGTCCATATTATTCCCCACCATCGTAGAGCTCCAGTTCACACCATCACCCCGATCCTCAGCCCTAATCAACGAGGCTCTATCACCGACTGTGCTTAAACTGACACCGCAGGCCTCACAGACCCTCACACCGCAGGCCTCACAGACCCTCAGCAGTTTGACAATATGAACGCCTCTTCCATCACCCGCTGCCTCGTTACCTTCCCGGACCTGTGTGGCTTTCACCTTCTCGTCAACTTCACCCAACCTCTCGAGTTAATAAACCACAACATAATCAACGACCTTAAGACCTGGATAAGTATTATTCTATGGCTCACAGATCTGTTTAGTGAAGCCATCTCCACCCTTCAGTGGCTCATCTGCGGTGTGGTGTCCCTCAAGGCACTAGGATGGGACCTCTCTGCTTCCTCCTCAACGATACCCTGAGGGACACAGCTCCTTGTTGGAAATATGCTGACCACATTGAAATCTGTTGCCAATAGCTCTCCTGATGGTAATTTCTGTAACACACAAACATACCAAACGACAACACACCTCCAATATAAACAGCCACACACCAAAACACCCACCAAATCCCCAAACACATACCCTCTCTCTCTCTCTCTCTCTCTCTCTCTCTCTCTCTCTCTCTCTCTCATCACAGTCAAAATTTAATGACCTCACTCCGGGTAATCCGCAACCACTTACGAGAAGATAAACGTGACCTATAACCAAGTTTTTTACTGTTTCTTACAGGTCAAACGACAGGAGAGCGCGAGGTAAATTTACCACTTCTAAAAAAATAAAATAAAAAATAAAAATATTCAAAGGTTCCTACGTTAAATTTCTTCCCAAACTTGACATCTGAGAATGTATTTAACGAACTCCTTTAATTTATGATACAAAGATGAATTCTCAAAGGTTTGTATTTAAACTTTCCTCCCAACTGCAGATTTGAGACTGCACCTAAAAGGGTCACTTAGAACTGACTGGGTCCAAGATGGAGTTGATACTACTCGAAGACTCTACCATAGCTACAGACGCGTCCTTCTCCTTTATGTGTGTACGAAGTGTTGACAATCTTTACCCAGGTCACATACATCAACCACTACCACCACCTATCTCCCACCACCACCATAAGCTCTCACTACCTGTACCGTCAGCTATCTCCAACACCACTTCTGACAACCAATAGCTCCACCACTACATCTCACTACCCCTACCACCATTACCACCACCTACTACCACCACCACTACCACCTCCTCCTCCTCACACTGTTGGTGATCCATCACTTCCTTCAAGACAAGAACCTGAGGAATTAATTGACTGATGGAGTTGAATAATGACTCGAGTCCCGCGGTATGGTAGAGGGAGTGACGACAACGAGAGGACTCATCCAGATACTCAGCTTCACATGTTAAAGTCACTGTCAAGGTGGCGTTGAAATAATCCTGAGACTCGACCATAACTACATCTCTCATATCCTGTTAAGGGAAACCAAATGGACGGACGCATCCTTGTGAATCCGGGGGAGTAAACCGTCCAGGTCTTGAAACACAGCAACAAGGAGCCTCAGGAATGCCACTAGTCTATGGGATGTGTCTTGTTCATAGCTTCACTATTTTGCGTGTCATCCTTACTCCGGGCCCATGCTAATCCTCTCTGTATCGTTCCGGTTTCAGTATATGTACACATAGTTCCCGGTGATAAGTGCATGTGTCAGCCGACAAGACGTCCAACACGGAATTCGCGTTTTCATTAACGTTGTGGTGGCACGCGGGGGTAACTATGGCGGCCCACTACCTACTGACAAGTATAGAAAAAAAGGCACCTCATTAAACCGGCAATATATTTCCCCATTAAAACGTTGTATGCTACGTAAATGTCGATTTAATGAAGTATTAATTACATAACAGTTTGGTTTTCGGCCATTTTTTGTGGTAAAAGGTAAGGTTTTAAGGGAGGGCGTTGGAGACGACCTCACCACCTCCACGTCGACATGCCACACACACACTTTGCAATGTTCGCCGAGGCTTCACCACCCACTAAGGTACTCTACGCCACTCAGTGATGTTGGGTGTAGGTGTATTGGTGTCCTGTATACCAACGGATTATTGATAAATCTTCAAACAAGACGACAGTGGATAAAAAAAACACTGAACTTAAGATTGGGGGTTGTGTCATGTTGTGTGGAAGATGGCGTTCCTGTGTTGGTCGGCCACTCTGATATTCCCTGTTTGACCACAAGTAGGGATGACTGGGCTGTCTTTGCTGCCGGGTTTTAAGGGATCGATTTTACCTGCGAATGACGTTTCCAAGGTGGTCCCTTAACCCACGCTACTCACTCAATACTATCGAAATGTTTCTTCAGATAACCACAGCAACATCTTGTATCCTCACCATCTCGCAAACTGTACTTTAAGACGGCGGGAACTATGACGTAGCCTCATAGCGGCCATGGCTACCTTTGTCCGCCTGCAACGATAACTTTTGGAATGTGTCGTGACCTTGTGAAATATGTTAGTGTGTTGGTGAGAGTGATCAAGATTGGGGAGTGAGGCGCCGGGCAGAAACACCCGCCCCTGGACGATGCTGCCGCCGCCATCACCACCACCGCCGCCGCCCAGGGACCTGACGTTAGGGCCGCTGAACTTTAAGGTTATGGTGGTTACTGAGTTAACTCGGGATAATCGTCTTTAATACTATTTGGAATGACACTGTAAAGGTTTTAAACAATGAATAACTAACCTGGGTATTAACTGTGAACTGCTGGCATGTTTGCCCCCTGAAGTACTAAGTCAGACTCCCTGGATATAAAAACAATTAAAATGGGATTTAAATATTTTAACTTTCGTCGCTAATTCTTGTTTACAATCTCTTCTCCAAGTGATAAAATATATTCTAATATTCTTTTTTGACTTGTGAATGTGAGTGACTTAACAAGGAGGAGGAGCGACCTACAGACTACTGGCTTCTCTAATAGTAGTAGCCACGCCCTCTAATTACTGTGGCCACGCCTCCTAGCTGCTGTGACCACGCCCGCTAACTACTGCAGCCATTCCCTCCGACTACTGTGTCCACAGCTGTCATGGAGCCTGGTGATTTCCTACCTAATAAAATCTGACCAAAGCAAGAGTTTGACGCACGACACAGGGTGTGACGCAACTCCTGATTTATGTACTGTACAGCCCTGTAAATGTATTCAACGCATATCATTATGTCTAAATCAAATGTAAGTTTGTATATTTTCAGCCACCGGCTGCAACTCTATTAATAAACCGTTTATTATTATAATTATTTTTTTATTAAGACAAAAGGTGTGACACAAGACAAAAGGTGTGACGCAAGAGAAGGGGTGACAAAACACAGGGTGAGACGCAAGACAAGGGGTGACGCAGACATAGGGGTGACGCGGACTAAGTGTGACAGACATGTGCCAGACAACAGCCCGTGTCAGGGGCGTGACGCACGTACGTGACATCGACCAAGGTTAAGTCCATTCATGCTGGAGGCAGGAGGGGGGCGGGGAAGGGGGGCGCCTGTACCCTCAACGATAACAACCGTGGAGGCGTGGGTTGTCCCCTCACCAGACCTTTGCAATGTCTACCCCTGAGTGAGTGGCTGCCGGTCAACTAGGTACCACAACCTAACCTAACCTAACCACTGAGACTGGTACACGCGAAGGTTAGGTTTACCTACAGTTAGGTCCCCGCGAGACTTGAGGTCCACGAGAACAAACTTACAGGAGAAAAACATCCTATTTAAGCCGGAGCCACGAGTCCTGATGGCCCTGACAGCTCTAGTTGGGTAGATTAATGCATCACATGACACCACAGTGGAAGGCAACACAAGTATGTATCACTAACTGTTGATGACATTTACAACGATGAATAAGTTGTGTTTACAGAAATAGGCAAACAATCAAATGGTTTCATAAAAAAATGGACAAATACGAAAGACTTTCCAAATACATTTACTCGTAGAACTAAACTACTACCTTATTGACTGAGCTACAATCTACTTCTGGTGCCCTTAACAACAATTACAACTAGGAGGAGTGTGGTTGTTTGTGGTTGTATGTTATTTAGGAAGTCACGCCGTCACATTCACTGCCGTGTCTTCCTGTTCGTTACTTATTAAATAACAAAGTTTATCAATAAGGAAATAATTTTAAGCGGCCAAAATTCCATTACATTATCTGCTTTTCCCAATGTATCAATTCCTACTAAAGATTTAAAATCATAAGCGCACTTTTTGAACATATCAAATCACGAGCATTTTATTCTTACATATGTTCTTCAATAACACCCCCCCCCCCTCCCCTCGCCTATAGAAAACAAATCAACAAATCCAAAAATCTTCGTGAAAATATTGGAATGAAAACACATTACCGAGATGATATACAACAATACTCTGGTCAATAAAACCTACAAATATTTACACCTGGACAAAAAATCATCACATCGAGGAACAAGAACATCTGGTACACTACTGAACATTACAAATGAAGAGTAAAGTGACTTACCTATTCTTAGCTTCACAGTGAGTTGAGAATGGTCTCCGTCCTGACTGATGCTGGGTTACTGGTCAGAAGCTCCCCCACCACCTAGTACAAATGACGACAGGTGTGAAGGTTCATCTTGTTTCATCTACCTTGCCAACACCTGGGAGAGAGAGAGAGAGAGAGAGAGAGAGAGAGAGATTTAGTGTGGTTATTTAAGCAGGCAGAAAACAGCAAATTATTATACATTTACAGAAAGAAAAAGTCAAAATTGTAAAGCCTCGTGTCGATAGTAGTTACCAGAGGTTTTTATATCACCATTCTTGAGGTTTATAACTAAAACGCTTACACCTGACACTTGAGGAAAAGTTCTAACACTTGAGGACGATATAAATAACCATCAAGGAGTTATCATGAAAAAAGTACCACACTCGTCATACACTTTAAAACAATATAAGACTTGAAGTATAATTAATGAAAAACAGTAGTATAGTATCGCACCGAGTCTACTAAGGATTACACACAAACACACAAAAAAAAATTATGAGTCTTAGTTCTATGCGGTCAGTCCTCCTACACATAAGAACTGAACACCAAGATAAACCTATTCAAGTATATTTCAAAATCTCTCGGTAACGTGGGTTGGGTTTAGTAATTATTAATCCCTCAGTGGAAAGTTATCCGATATTTTTCTCAATTGCATTTCAGGTTCCGTCGGAGAAGCAAATGGAACGTCATATCAAAAGGCGGGGTGGGTGGGTGGGTGGGTGGGTGTGGCTGGGTTTATGGGGGTGGGTGGGGGTGGGTGTGTGTGTGTGTGTGTGTGTGTGTCGTAATTGGTCACGGCGCGTCAGTCCTCACACACATACACACTGACCCTATACACTCGTCGTCAGCCCGGCCAGAATATACCCCGACCTGGCACCAAAGAGTGACACTTCAAAACGTTCTCGGCATTTCCTCACGATTCACAACTACTGAATCTTGAATAACTATATGGTCAAGATTCACAAAGATTCTCTATACGTTTATTGTTAACGTTGAGGATTATTGAGATTCTGAAGACACTTTTTTAACCACTTCTGTTCTGTCACCGTAAGTACCTCATTCCCACATAATATAGTTAAAAGGAATGAATACTAAATATAGACGAACCTTTAAGAATATATACCTTTAATTTTAAGACCATTCGCCGTTGGAAAGAAATAAATCTGGCAAGTTGAAAAAAAATATATATTTTTTTTCAATTGTCGTCTTTTGTTATTTATTGAGGTTATGTCGTTTTGGACTGTAAGCCTCACCGCCAGTGTCCATTTGCAGATCATAATACCCTGGACGGACACCCTGGAGGCCTCTGCAGTGTATAGTTTGGGGGCCCAACCAGGCAGGAGTGAGTGAGTTTTTGTCCCGTCCCTTCCTCCCTATTCCTTCAGGCTCTTCCCTCTCCATTCCATTTTCCAGACCTTCTTTCATTCTTCTTTCTTCACTCTTCCCACCCCATGACTTCATTCTTCTCTCCCCTTTTCTCTATCTCATTGTTCCTCCTTCATTCTCCTTCCACTTCCTCCTTTCAAATATCTTCTCCATCTAAACCCTCATTTATTCGCCTCTCTCTTTCTCTCTCTCTCTCCCTTTCTCTTGCTTTTCTTTCCTCCGCCTCTTTTCCTTCCTCCATCCCCCTCCTTCTCTCTTCCTTCCTTCTCTCCGTCGCCCCCTCTTCCTTCCTCCCTTGATATATTCCACAAGAACAACCCCACCCCTCCCCGAACTGTCCTCCCACAACGCACTACGCCTCATAACGTGTCAATGTCATCCCCATAGACGTGACAATGAGGCAAGTATCTTGATTTGATTGATGCACTAAAGGAACAAGAGTAAAAATGACCTTGTTGTTACTTGTTGCTGTTTTGTTGTTGTTGTTGTTGTTGTTCTCCCATACAAATAAACACAGGTGAGTCCTCCATCTTATGCATCATCCTCACTACATACATTATAATGAAGTACACTATCCCCGCCATTGTCATCCAGAGCCACACGATTGCATAAAATTAGCATCCTGGAGCCATTATTCCTTATACTGTTGTGATATTGGTGTGGACATAACCAGGCGAGGGAGGGGTAACATTCCTACACAGACACACACATATACATCAACTATAAGCATCTCAGTAGGCGATGATAAGGACCCAACTTGTGGGACA